TTTTTCTGGGGGGGAGGAACGCGTTCTCGGGGGGAGACCCCGGAAGCAAGCCGTCCCTCAGTCTCGTCCCTCGTGGGGGAACTTTCCCGGAGAAGAGATTTTAGAATAAAAAGTTTTGCCATCCTGTACCATACCATGTTGCTCCCGCCGCCCACAGGGAAAACCAAGGTCCATCTAGAATAGGGGGAAGGGCACGTGGCAGTGACCCGAAGGTTCCCCATCCTGAGCCCCCAACCAGCTGACTCAGGTCCTCCCACCAGGGCCCTCCAGCTGGATCAGGAAGTGTGTGGTTTCCCCTGTGCTCGCTGTGGTCCGTGTCAAGCCCATCCCACTCCCACTGTCTCCCATCCTCAGAGACTTCGTCCCCTCGGCCTTGAACACCATGCTCAGAGCCTTGGGAAGAAAGGCTCTTCCTCTCCTTCTCCATGCCCTGCACCCTTCACCTTCTCAGGAACCACCTCTTTCTCTTCTACCACCAACAGGGTTAACTCTGCCTCATCTGCCCTGACTCTACCTTTCTCATCTCTCGCTCTTTACCACCAAAACTCTTCAAAAAGTAACCTATATTTGCGAATGCAATTTATTTAACTTGTTCACGCCTCTCATTAAAATTGGGTTCAGCTGCCACGACTCTATGGAAATTGCTCTTATGAAAGGGAAGATGAAGGGGCTATAATTTACTCAACAACTACTATGTGCTAGGGCTGCTACATTTATGTCTTTTAATTTAATCCTTGCAAGGTTGTGAGGCAAGTATCCTCTCCCTTTAAGAAACTAGCAACTGAGGCTCAAAATGGTTAATTTATCAAAGATCAAACAGTGTATGTCAGATTTCTCTTTCTGCAAAGCTCTGATCCCAAGGTCATCTGAAAGGTCCAGTCTCCCTCTCAGGCCCCTGTCAATGCTTCCCCCTAAAATACTGAGGCTGTGCTCCGCTCACTCTACAGCGTCTCCTGGCCAGTGTGGGAGGGCGGATCATTCTTTCCTAAGGTACATGCTTATGACTCGCAAGCTACTTGCTCTGACCCAGACTTCTGTCCTAAGTTTCAGACTCATATTTTCAACCTCTGACTGAACATATAAAAGACCCAAAGGCATCCTAAGCTAAGCTGATCCTACCCTGACCAAGTTCTGTCCCTCTGACCCAACAAGCATATTATCTATTTGGATAATGGTGGCACCATCACTCTGTTGCCCAAGCTTGGATTCATGCTTGAGTCCACTCTCTTCCACCCCACCACATTCGATTAATTACCAAACCCTGTCCATCTTCTCAGACATGCCTCTCCCATTGGGCTTCCTCTCTATTCCACTTCTACTTAATTCATGTGTTTATAATCACCTAGACACCCCTTGCCACCTCTGCAGCTCTGCTTCATCTAGTCCTGCATAATTAGCAAGAGTTAACTTCCCCAAGTCAACATCTGATATTGTTACTCCCCTGTATAACAACCTCCATTGGCTCCCCACTGCCTAGAGGGTAAAATCTAAAACCCTATCTTGGCACATCTGCTCCAAAATCTGCCTCCAACCCACTGTCTACTTCATCTCCTAACACCCCCGGCACCTCCACCATTTCCCTATGCTCCAACCTCTCTGAATTTGGCATGTTTCCAAACACACAGTGCCCTTTCCTAATACAATGCCAACACGCATGCTGTTGTGCTTGACAACACCCTTTCCTCCTCTTTTCACTTAGCAAAATCCGATTTGATCAGCTCAAATGTCATCTCTGTACTCTCGGGCAATGAATGATTTCCTCCTGCGCACACTCTGCACCACCGCCTTGTCTTTGGCTTCGCCCCCTTCCCAGCTTTAGGACACAAGCCCTCTGAATCCCACACCTAACACAGTGCCTAGCCGACAGCAGGCCTCAATGCTCCGAGAAAGGACAGGAGTGAGGAATGCATGTCTTACCTGCCACAGGTTGGTGCGGTTTGGCTGGAACTTGTTTCCCCAGGGATAAACCTGACCTGCGGGAGAGCAAGGAGAAAGCATTGGGGGGAGAGGTGAAGTGTTGGGAAAGACAGAGAGAGCGAGGGAACCGAAAGGAGGTTATTTTTATATCCCATGCCCATCCCTTCCACTCACTGCATTGCATTCGGAGCCCCGCCTCCTGCATTACCCCAGGGCAGTGCAACCCTAGGTGTGGTTCTGATCAATGCCTCTGTAAACCACCTGTGACCAGTGCACGTTGAGATCAGTGCAGAAATTGAGAGTAACCATTGAGAAACTTGTTCGTTGGACTTCGATTGGCTAAATGAACAAGCAACCTCATTTATCACATTAATAACTTTGACTATTGGTATAGCTGGTGTTCAAACTGTAGAGGCTGGATATGGTGAATTGCTATTTCACTCTCATAACTTTTTTTAATGAGCATTGCAGAACAACTAAGTTATGAGCAAAGAGCAATTTTTTATATTAACCCCTATACATCCATGGAAAAGGCATGTGGTTTGGATAACTCTGCTCCTCTTCTCTATGCTATGTTGGTCCGACTGTATTTTTGGAAACATGACAGACATCTCTGTAGAATCTCCAACAATAAAAAAAATTTTGTTTTTTTCATTCCATTTTTCCAGTTATTAGTTTTTATGGTATTTTAAATAAATACCATATTTTACATATTTTACATAGGTCTGAGATAGATGAGAAATAAAAATAACAACAGCAACTGGTCCTTCACTGCTCTAGGGAGCATGAGCCCTTCCCACCCTTTAAAGACCCCCATGCAGGGCGGGATGGAGAGCAGAACAAAGGGGAATCGCCTTGGTAGCTCTATACCCTTTAAGCCCCCTCGGGCAGCAAACTCCCACTCTTCCTCAGTGGGCAGCCGTTTCCCCTGCCATGCACAGTAGGCCCGCGCATCATTCCAGCTCACGTGTACCACTGGGAGCTCCAGTCTCTCTCGGATGCCAGAGCCGGGACCTGCAGGCTGACAGCCAGGAGGAAGTGAGACAGGCTCTGGGAGCTCGGGGAAGTCTGAGGAAGGCTAGGCTTAGGGCACCTAAGTTCAGCTTTTAACACTAGGGGAAGCAAAGAAATTGGAAGAGAGCTTGGTGAGTGAGGAGAGGTCCAGAACGAAGAGACTACACATGAGACTGACAAGAAAAATGGGATGGGTGATGGGAAGAGGACTAGGGAACAGGGTGTCTTGGCTGTTTTCCTGAAACTCCTTTTAGCTCAGTATTCCTAGATGGGCAAGGGGGCTAGGGAAGCCAGCCCTCCAGGGGTAGAAAACAAGGTGGAGGAACCAACCCTTACCTGCCTCCAGAATGCCCTTTCCACTGGAAGCCACCAGAGAACAGGCTACAAAGAAGAAAGAGCATGACTGCAAGATGCTCGAACCCATCATGCGCACCTTCCCGACTGACACACAGGAGGCGGAGCAGACCCTTCAGGCCGAGACTCAGGGCGTCCAAGTGAGGCTGTGTCTGGAGTCTCTGAAGCCTGACACCTCACGGCCCTCATTAGAGGGAGGCCTGTCAGGACGTTCTGCTTGTGCAGGATGTATTTTGAGCCCCATGTGTATCTATCTGGGTCTTTACAGTCTCTCTACCCAGAAACCAGCTCAGGGGTCCCTTCCCTGGAGGAAGTATTCACCTGACCCTTCCAGGGAGGGCTTCTCTCGCTTCCTCCCTGCCTCCCGCTCTCAGGTCTGATTTCTACCGTGGCCCAGGTGACCCCGTGCCCCACATGCCTCTATGTCCAGGTCCCACTCCCGTTCCCTCAGCTCCAAGCCCAGGTTTTCTCACCTTCATTTGCTGAGTCGCTTTGTTTCTAAGCTCATCGGAGACAAAGTCCTCAAAGACAAAGCTCCACCCAAACGCCTCGGCCTCTGTCCGGTACTTTTTCTCCCTGACAAACTCCCTGAAAAGAGAGATTTCGCTTGGCTTGGCTGAAAGGGTTCTGTGCTCCATCCTCACCTCTCCTGCTGCAGAAGAGCTCACCTAGCCTCATCCTGTAAGTCCCACATCACAGAGGTCCCATGAACTCCAGGGAATTCGCCTGAAACCCTGAGCAGGAGATTTTCTTTTAAAATCTGTTGCTATAAGGTCCCAGGTTTGATTCTGGTCAAGGGCACATGCCTGGGTTGTGGGCTCAGTCCCCAGTGTGGGGCATGCAGGAGGCAGCCAATCAATGATTCTCTCTCATCACTGATGTTTCTCTCTCTCTCATCCTTCCTATCTGGAAAAAAAAATTAATAAAAGCACATATAAGTAGTATGAGTGGTACTGTAGAAAAATGAGGAAATTTAAAATCATCCATTATCACACTAGTATGTATCATTCCATATTCTTCCTGGCCCCCACTCCCCAACCTTCCCACCCCGTTTAACAAGGTGCTTCCCTGTAATTATTGTCATTTGGAAGTCACAAAAACATGGGTAAAATCTGTTAACTAATGCACTTCCACTTTTTTAATGCATATACATTCTATATACATAGTTTTAAAAAATAGGATCATAAGCTATATATTATTTTGTAAGCTACTTTCTTCATTTAACATCTCATAACTCTCTTTTTAAATATATATGTTTTAATATATTTTTATTGATTTCAGAGAGGAAGGTAGAGGGATAGAGAGATAGAAACATCAATGAGAGATGAGAAAGAAACACTGAACAGCTGCCTCCTGCACACCCCCTACTGGGGATGGAGCCTACAACCCGGGTATGTGTCCTGACAGGGATTCGAACCACTGAGCCACACTCAACCACTGAACCATACTGGTTGGGCTCATAACTCTCTTTTTGACAACAGGATTATATATCATTATATTGATACAATATCTATATTATAAAAGGCCCATGGCCATAATGTGGTAATGACAGGTCACCAGGAGGTGCATTGAGCACCTCTCAGTCACCCCCCCTCCCACTCCAACCCCCCCTCCACCCTCCCCTCCACCCCACCTCCACCCCCCCCCCCCCCACACACACACACGAACACGAGCTACTACAGGCGGAGAGCTATCAGCTTTGGAGAGCTACCAGAGCAACGGGCAGGGCAGTCAGCTGAGGCAAGCGGAAGCGAACTACTGGCACAATCGTGCACGCTGGGCCTCTAGTGTTTAAATAATCCTTAAATTGATAATAGTTGTTTACAATGTCATCTTTTTAGTTAAATGTTTTTGGACAACTTTAATTCTTTCCTTCAGACAAATCCCTAGAGGGGGAATCACTGAGTCAAAGGGCCTGAGGAGTATATCAACAATCCTATGCTTATTTCAGTGTGTCTCCTGAATCAATTTTTCCCCATAACCTTTTATCTTGAAAAGTTTTAACTCCACAAATGTAACATTTAAGTCGTTTCCCACATTTGCTTAATTATCTTCCCATTCCCTCTCTTTCCTCCATCCCCTCTACATAATCACCCCTGTACTATTTTTTTAAATAAATTTTTTAAAAAATATATTTCATTGATTTTTTACAGAGAGGAAAGGAGAGGGATAGAGAGTTAGAAACATCAATGAGAGAGAAACATCGATCAGCTGCCTCCTGCACATTCCCTACTGGGGATGTGCCCGCAACCAAGGTACATGCCCTTGACCGGAATCGAAACTGGGACCTTTGAGTCCGCAGGCTGACACTCTATCCACTGAGCCAAACCAGTTAGGGCAATAAATCTTTTTTTAAAATATGCTTTTACTGATTTTAGAGACAGAGGAAAGGAGAGAGGGAGAAAGGGAGGGAGGGAGGGGGGAATATCGATGTGAGAAAGAAACATAAATTAGCTGCCTCCTGCATGCACCCTGACCTGGGATCAAACCCCCAACTTGGGTTATGTGCCCTGACAGGGAATTGAACCAGTGACCATTTGGTGTACAGGACAACACTCAACCAACTGAGCCACACCAGCCAGGGCACATACCTGTACCATTTGAAGATAAGTTACAAAACATATCACCTTGAGGAAACTAAGGCGTTGCAATTTCACTTCTTAGAATGAGTTAGAACCACAGTGTTTGACTCCTAAAACAACACCATTTCCCAAAGTAAATATAAAGGGAATTTAAGGCACTTTGCTAGTATGACCCTTCTCCCAGTCCCTTCTTCCCTGTTGAAGAAATTTCTGTTGAGTGTGTCACTTTTGCCCATAATCCTTGTGCTATGCCCAGTGTAATGGAAAATCCACTGGCTCAAGAATCAGGGAATTTGAGTTACAGGCTCAAGTCTGTCACTAACGGACAGTAAGGTAAACATTTTTGGACTTCAGATTCTTCACTTAAGAAAAAAGTAGATACACTTATCCCACAGTATTATTGCAAAGATATGTGATAGTGAACAAGCCAGTTTCCTTCTGGAGCAGTGGTTCTCAACCTTCCTAATGCCGTGACCCTTTAATACAGTTCCTCATGTTGTGGTGACCCCCAACCATAAAATTATTTTCGTTGCTACTTCATAACTGTAATTTTGCTACTGTTATGAATCGTAATGTAAATATCTGATATGCAGGATGGTCTTAGGCGACCCCTGTGAAAGGGTCGTTCGACCCCCAAAGGGGTTGCGACCCACAGGTTGAGAACCGCTGTTCTAGTGATTAAGAATGAAGATTTGAGCCCAGCCTGTGTCGCTCAGTGGTTGAGCATTGACCCATGCACCAAGAGGTCACCAGTTCTATTCCCAGTCAGGGCACATGCCCAGGCTATGGGCTTGATCCCCAGTGAGGGGCATACAGGAGGCAGCCAATCAATATTGATGTTTCTATCTATCTCTCCCTCTCCCTTCTTCTCTTTCTAAAATCAACAAAAACATATTAAAAATAAATAAAACTTATGAATTGTTTACAAAATAATGATGATTTGAAAGAGCCTTTACTCCTCCTGAAAGAATACCTGATATACCTGAAATCTTTGTTGGTGACAGGAAATATGTCGATGGCAAAAGGTTTTACTGTCACCTCCCGGACAGGTCCTTCACCATCTCTGCCATCTGGTGAATTTGTTCCCATCTGGAATCTCCCACCTGGCAGCTTAACCATGCTTGTCACCTGCCCATTCCCTGTAGTGGAAAAAAAAGAGTGTCATCAGTAATACATGAGTATGTAAAAAATAAGTGGCAATATTTGGATCATATGTAATACTCATAAAAATGAGTGTTCTTAAAAATAATGGAGGCTTAAAATTTTGGCTTTAAATTCTTGTTCTGGCCCTAGCTGGTTTGGCTCAGTGGATAGAGTCACGGCCCTTGGACTGAAGGGTCCCAGGTTCGATTCCGGTCAAAGGCACATACCTTGGTTGTAGCCTTGATCACTGGCCCAGGTCAGGGTGCATGTGGGAGGCAATCATTCAATGTCTCTCTCACGTTGATGTTTCTCTCTCTCTGTCTCTCCTCCTCCCTTCCACGCTCTCTAAAAGTCAATGGAAAAAACATCCTTGGGCCCTAGCAGATTTGGCTCAGTGAATAGAGCATTGGCCTGAGGATTGAAGGGTGGCCTGTGAACTGAAAGGTCCCAGGTTCAATTCCAGTCCAGGGCACAAGTCCGGTTTATGGGCTCAATCCCCAGTAGGGGGTGTGCAGGAGGCAGCCAATCAATGATTCTCTCTCATCATTGATGTTTCTATCCCTCCCTCTCCCCTCCTCTCTGTAATCAATGAAAATACTGTAATCAATGAAAATATATTGTAAAAAAAAGAAAAGACATCCTCGGGTGAGGATTAACAAAAAAAAACACCCATGCAATAAATTCCTGTTCTGCCACTTAATTTGCGGGGTGACCTTAGGCAAATTACTTAATCTGAGTTTCAATTTCTTCATTTATAAAATGGGAATAGCATCTATCTCATAGGCATAGCTGCATGAATTCAAATAACGTAAAATGTTGAGCACATGGTAGGTTTTCAACAAATGTTTATTTCCTTACCTTTCTATTCTTCTACACACAACCCTCTGTCCCAGCTAGGTAAATCTAGACACTATACTCTAAAATATATCTAGCACCTTTCTACCCATACTTCTGCTCATGCTGTTTTTCGCTCTCTTCCTTCCCACTTGTTGAACTCTTATCAGTTCTTACCATTATATCATGTACTCCAGAAAAGAAAGGACTACCTCTATTTTGCCAGTGTATCCCTGGCACCTAGCACAAGTGCACAATAATTATCATCAAATAATTGAATGAGCTCCTTCATACTTGCTGTTTGTATGCCTCAAAAAATCAAATTAAAAGGATCTTTAATTTGACCCCCTTATTTAACAGGAGGGAAATCAGGACCCAAAGAAGAAAGTAACTTAATGAGGCAAGCAGGAAAATCTCAGAATAAAAAAGAATTAAGAAAAAACATACAACTGCAATGCACAAAGTTTATTTTGATACTAATTCAAGAAGTAAACTACAATTAAAAAACACAGTAGGTAAATCTGAACACTAACTGGATGTTAATTTTGTAGGCAGAAAATGGTATGGTGTTTTTTTTTTTTTTCCGTGACTTGTCTTTTTGGCTATTCAAGCTGAGTTATTTACGAATAAAATTGTATTACGCCTGCATTCACTTTAGCATGATCCCAGGAGAGGGGAAAGTGGGTTACCAAAGAAGCAAGATTAGCCATAATTTGGGAACTGTTAAACTGGGTGATGGGTACGTAGGGGGCACGTTTAGTTATAATCTGTTCTTTACTTTATGCTTGAAAGATTCCAAAATAGTAAGTTAAAAGTAAAAAGGAAGTAAAATACAGTATGAGCTGTTATTAGCCTCGCCGGGCTGGCAGTCTCTGGGACGTGCCTCAGCCGACTAGGACTAGGAAGTGGGCTACGGTCTCTTCCCCACGGGGCAAAGCGCCCCACCCCTTTCCTGATAATCCCTGGGACAAAGGCGCTAGGGGTAAGTGGGCAGGCCGGCACACTGACCTAGCTCGATCCACGGGCCGGACAGGAGCGACAGCAGGGTCAGCAGCAGTAAGGAGCTCATAGCACCGCAGCACCAGGAACTGGGTACACACGCCTAGTCGCTCTGCTGCGCATGCGCTCCACACGCACTACGTCCCGGTGCACACTGCCCCCTGGCGCATCCTCTAGATATTGGCAACCCGAGGGCGTAATTAGTCCAGCCCAGGAAGGGGTGGGGTCAGGTTAAGAAAAAGCAATTTTCTCAGGGTTAGTGTGAAGAGGCCTTATAACACTGATAGCGAACCTATGACAACGCGTGTCAGAGATGACACGCGAACTCATTTTTTTGGTTTATTTTTGTTAAATGGCATTTATATTAAATATCAAAAAATTTCTGTGTGACACGGCACCAGAGTTAAGTTAGGGTTTTTCAAAATGCTGACACGCCGAGCTCAAAAGGTTCGCCATCACTGCCCTGTAATTTCAGAATCCCCTTCATGATCCTGTGAACATTTGGACTAACTTCCTTCCCTTTTATATTCAACCCCTTTTGTGCCTTGGAATACCAATGCAAGATGACAGAAAAGGTTTCAAGTTAAACATTTATTGCACACTTACTGTAGCCAAGTCCTCAAAATACAAAACTTAGCAACACAATTTCACCTTCAAAGACTGTTCATTTACACCACCTGACCTGTATAAAAATGATTTTTTGGAAACACGGTCAAATAATTTGAGGGGGGGGTGGAAGGACACTGGAGGTTTTGGGATGGGTATTTCAGCATAAGTAAAGGTCCAGGGTGTGAAAATACAGTATGGTCTACCTGAAAATCTCTTCTCAACTAGGCCTGTCACCATGCCTTCAAGCCTCTTCAAACCTCTGTCTCCTCTATTTTAATTTTTGCATTTTATAAATGTGCAGCTCTTTCAACTCCCTTGCCTCTAGTTCACCCATCTTTCTACCCATTCCCACTTAACTTTCCTGGGGAGCATTTTAGCAAAGCTACTTCAAAGCATGAAATGTCCCACTAAAAGATCCAATCATTTTACTCACAGCAATTGATACTAAAGAAACAGGGATGCTTTCAAAACCTTGTTACTTAAGTGTTATTTATATTAGCATAAAATTTTTAATAAATGCTCAATAGGGAACTATTGGATAAATTAAAATACATCATTAGAAGAAATTATTAAACCATTAAAATTTGTTTTTCAAGGAATATTTAATAAGATAGATACCATATGCTTTTCTAATGTGTTTTTTTAATATCACAGAAATGAAAGCAAAATATTCTGTGCATATTGGGTGAAAACAGCCTGCTAGTTGTGCATACACTGAGTACAATTAAAAAAAAAATAGTGTAATTATAATTTCAGACTTTGGAATTTTAATAGGTAGTTGCCATTGCTCTCTCCTTTCTTCAGATGGGAAAAGAAAATTCCTTTAAAAATCATTTGAAGCCAGGACAAAAATTCCATAGCTGTATTCTTAGGATCACTCTGTAGAGTCTTCATGATTCAGGTAGTACAGGGGAAGCTTCAATTCAACCTTTTAGAGAAGACATTCCAGCTCGCATGATCTCATCGACCAGGAGTATGTTGGTGGCAATCACAGTGCTGAAAGGGGGGGAAAAATCAGATGGCTCAGATTCCAGATATGAACCCTAATTCAACTGAATTTCCAACTAAACCATGCAAATTACATCCAATTAAATTTCCCTTTCCCCCTCCATACATAAAAGTTTCATTTTTGCAATTTTTCTTTTACATTTTGATGAGGGTGGGGGTGGGGGGAATTAAACAGAATATGCCAAATATAAAAAGAGTGTAATTACCTAAAGGTTATTTTAGTTTTGACTTTCCCAAACTTACCAGGAGTGAAGAAGCTGTTTCTTTACACAATAGTTATCCCATACGCCTACTTCTGCTGCTACCATTGGCTCACCTGAAAAGTAATCCAGTAGTCTTAAAATCATATATAGCAGATCGTAAGACCAGAATGATCTTGATTCCTGTGCACAGTATCTTTGATAAATGACTGATCTCTGCTTAGAAGACTTGAGTGGTAGGAAAGCTCTATTCCGTTACCAAATATTTAAACATCTTGTTTTTCTGGACACATTTGTCCATATTAAATTACAGCACTTGAACTATAATCTGGTCAAAATGGGCTTATCATTTTCCTCATTCCAGAGCCCTTATTAAATGTAAACAGCGTTGCTGACAACAGTAGGTCTTACATATTGACTGGATCTCAGTTCTCTTATATTGTACTTACATAATTTGTGTTCTTACACTGGCCTAAGACCAGGGCTTTAAATATTTCATTATATTTGGTTCCCCTCTTCCAGCATTATTTGCTACCCTTAGCCTTTTTCCATCAGTGAATATGATCATCTATTTTATATTTCCATATCATAGTCCCTGATAAAAAATTGAGTAAACCCAATATGAAGCTTTTCAATATTAACCTGAACCACCTACCACCACTCAGTAACATCAACAAATCCATACTCTTTGAAACTATTCAAATGTATATATTTGATTCCCTTAATTACTGTATCTAGTCATTCTGTTTTTATACTATATTTTAGAACCCAGAGTTCGCTGATAGGACTAATATTAAACTGCAAAGTAACTCCCCAAGATTCTTTTGATTCTCCCTGGCTTTACCTCACCTATATTATCGAGTTTTCCCCCTACAAATAGTTGCATTCTCTTACCTGTGTTCAAGTCCACACCCACAAGTTGACCTGATTCCGAATGTTCTGCTTGAACTTTAACTAGTGTTTCCTGAAGATCAAAACCAGAATTCTGAGCAAGAACCTAAAGGCAAGCAAATTTAATCCTTTAAAATACAGGACCTAAGAACCGATAGTCAAATGCACAATAAATAAATAGTATATCCATTAATAATCAATAGAAAATCATTATATTGATTGTAGTTTAAACAAAAAGCAAGCTTGTACTCAAGTATATCCCCTATACCAGGGGTGGGCAAACTTTTTGACTCGAGGGCCACAATGGGTTCTTAAACTGGACCAGAGGGCCGGAACAAAAGCATGGATGGAGTGTTTGTGTGAACTAATATAAATTCAAAGTAAACATCATTACATAAAAGGGTACGGTCTTTTTTTTTTTTAGTTTTATTCATTTCAAACGGGCCGGATCCGGCCCACGGGGCGTAGTTTGCCCACGGCTGCCCTATACACTGCAAACCCTCTTAAAATAGTTATCTCTTGCAACTTGAAACTTCAGATATTCAAGTTTCCTTTCTAGGGAAACCAAATACATTTGGATGTTCTAGTGCAGTGGTCGGCAAACTGCGGCTCACGAGCAACATGTGGTCTTTGGCCCTTTGAGTGTGGCTCTTCCACAAAATACCACGTGCGGTCGCGCCCTAAGGTACGATTAAACTTCGTGTCCCATGCGCCGAAGTCAGTATTTTGGGGAAGAGCCACACTCAGGGGCCCCAAAGAGCCACATGTGGCTCGCGAGCCACAGTTTGCCGACCACTGTTCTAGTGTTAGGGAGAAAACTGATCAAACTTACTCAAAATCCACATCATGAAAAAAAAAAACAAACCCCACACCAAAAAACTTTCACATTCATCAGCTGAAATCATTTTGTTCCATTTTAGAAAATGGACTGTTAACAAAAGTCAGACCTTGGGAATAATGAGCAATGCATCAGCAAACGCTTGAACTCCAAGCTGGGCCCTGCCCTTTACGCTGGGCTTGTATTTCACCAGTGCGTGTGACATTGCCACTTCCACTGCACCACCACCTGGAACTACACAGCCTGTTGGGTGGGTGGGGAAGGAAGGGGGAGAAGAGAGAAAATGCTCAGCTACAAAGAAAACTGTGGAATTATAAAACAAATTAAAACACACATACATGGCCCTAGCCAGTTTGGCTCAGTGGATAGAGCGTCTGCCTGCAGACTGAAGGGTCCCGGGTTCGAACATGCCCAGGTTGCAGGCTCGATCCCCAGTGGGGGGCATGCAGGAGGCAGCCGATCAATGATTCTCTCATCATTGATGTTTCTATCTCTCTCCCTCCCTCTTCCTTCCTCTTTGAAATCAATAAAAAATATTAAAAAAAATAAAACACACAAACATGGAGACCATTAATTTCTTGAAAATTCAGTGTGACAGCAATTTTAATATTGCATTTGAAAGCAACATATCAAATAACACGATCTGATTTAACTAGCACTTGGAAGCTCTTACAATCTCTTAACTTATTTATTTGTATCCACTTTTAGTAATGATATGCTATGAAAAAACTTGGCATACCATCATAGCCATTTTAAAGGGAAGACTACTTTTGCATGGTGTCTGGCTGTGTAAGCTACTGACAAAAAGAACACAGTATTCAGCCATGCCTTACAGAATAGCAAAAAGAATACAATTAGAATAAAGTGAGGATCTTACCATCATCAATAGCATTTTTAACAGCCCTCAAGCCATCTCTTATTGCATCTTTGATTTGAGTGAGTGTGTGCTTATTTGGTCCTTTGACCAATAATGTAACAGAGCGAGGATTGTTACATTTCTCAACAAAGGTGAACTTCTCTTCTCCCTATGTAAAGAGAATATTTTCAGAAAAACAGGACATAGTTGTACAAAGAATGATCAGAGAAAAAATGATAAATGGCACATTCACAGAAAACACACTGAATCACATTCAAGTAATTTCTTAAAAACACACACACGTAAGAGAAATGTGACTTTCCCATCAGAGTATCACTGCTACACATGGACCATCAAAATGCGTGTAAATAAAGCATAAATCTGATCCCAAGTTTGAATGAGTTTTTACTACTGAAGAATTCATGAACCAAAAAGTATTACCTTTGGAAAGAAAATACACTTACCAATGTATACTCATAGACAAGTCCTGCATGTCCCAAACAATCAGGATTTAGGTCATCAAAAGAATTTAGAGCTTCTCCACCACAAGCAAGAGTCAGCCTGAAATATTGAAGTATTTTAAGGAGATGTAAGTGATTTTTATCAGTTATGTTTAAAGAAAAGATTATTTTTAGGAAGCAATCTTTCAGAATTACATACTAAAATTATATTCTAAAATGTATTTTAACTTGTCCATTTATCACCAACCAGCTAAAAACTGGTCTTTTCTCCTAACCCTCCATTTAAACCACTTTTCCCAAGTCAGCAAATACTTCTCTGATATGATTTTTATTTTTTTTTAATATATTTATTGATTTCAGAGAGGAAGGGAGGAGAGATACAAACATCAATGATGAGACAGAATCATTGATCGGCTGCCTCCTGCACACCCCCACTGGGGATCGAGCCCATAACCCAGGCATGTGCCCTTGGCTGGAATCAAACCCGGGACCCTTCAGTCCGCAGGCCAATGCTCTATTTACTGAGCCAAGCTGGCTAGGGCTCTGATATGATTTTTAAAGATAAACAAAAGCTTTCTCATATTTCTCTGAAACCCTTTGATGCTGTCTCCTGACATGGAAATATATGTACACTCCGTCATTGTTTGAAAATAAAACAAGTATAGCCCAGCAGATGTGGCTCCGTGGTTGAACGTCAAGGCAGGCACCAAGAGGTCACCAGGTCAGGGCACATGCCAGAGTTTCAGGCTCGACCCCAAGCAAGGGGGTGCAAGAGGCAGCTGATCTATGTTGATGCTTCAATGTTTCTATCTCTCCCTCTCCCGTCCTCTCTAAAATCAACAAAAACATATTTTAAAAATAAAAGTAAAACAAGTATAAACCAATGTTCATAGTGGCATTATTCATCATAGCCAAAAGGTAGAAACCCAAATAAATGTCTCCTGACAGATAAATGGATAAATAAGGATGTGATATTACCCATACCATGGAATATTTGTCCTTAAAAAAGAATGAAATTTTGATACATATTACAATCTGGATGAATCTTGAAAACATTATGCTTAATGAAATAAGCCAGACACAAAAGGGCAATTATTTATGATTCCCTTATATGAGGTACCAAATTCAGAGACAACAGAACAGTATTTACAGGAGAAGGAGTGTGGGTAGAAGTGGGGAGGAGAAATGGGGAGTTACTGTTTAATAGGTACAGTTTCAGTTTGCAATGCTGAAAAAGTTCTGAAAATGGATAATGGTGATGGTTGCACAACAATGTGAATACAATTTAATGCCAATGAATTTTTTACACTTTAACAAAAGGGGAAAGTGATATATTTTGTATTATGTGTATTTTGTATTATGTGTATTTTATCAAAAGAAAAAAGCAAAAATAAATAGAGGGGGGGAAAGGAATAATCTCAGTTAACTTGCACAAATTCACATCACTCAGATGATCTGCTATCCGCCGTACCTTTCCATATTTCTTTTTTTCGCTCTGCGCAGAGCTACTATGCCTTCTTTTGCAAGGGCATCTAAGGAAAATGGGTCAATTCCCTGTTAACAACAACAACAAAAAGTTAGTTTTAATATATTTCACCTGAAAAATCAAAATGGATGATACAGACTAGTTTATATAGCAAAGTTCATTCTCACCTTTTGATTAATAACAACAAATCCTTTATTTGAGTCACCACAGACTTTCTTTTTCAGGTCTATTATTTTTTTAACTCTATCTTCAATGAATTTTCTTTCAGCTCTTACTAGTTTCTCTCTCTCTTCTGCACTCTTGTAAAAAAAGCCAGAATTCACTTCTCTATTAAAAATAAAAGTATGAGGGGAGGGGGAGAGTTAAAATGTTTATTTTATTTAACAAATAGCCACGTAATTCTGATCTGCCCCTGGTATATTCTGAGTTTATTCCTAGAATTCTCCCAAACCCAATTTGAGGCATTATTGTCTGTACAGTGGAGAAACTGAGTCTCACAAAGTGACTTGCCCAAAATACCAAGCTCCCCTGCTTCTCGATTCCATTTGTAAGAGAATATAAACTCACGTTTTTTCATATTCTAAGGACACATTGCATGTAAGGATGTATGCATCTTCTACTCTTTTTTTCATATCAGGATGCCGTGCCCCATGGTCCAAAACAAGACCTCTGATTAAGCTGTTAAAATACATTAAAAATTATGGTAGATATAAACATCTAATTACTATGTTACATAGCTGAAACTAATATTGTCTGTTAACTATAACTAAGAAATAAATAAATATAACACATTATATTGTTATTGACTTTCAGCCCGGCTGGCGTGGTTCAGTGGTTGAGCACTGACCCATGAACCAGATCATCGGTTTTATTCCTGGTCAGGGTTGCAGGCTCGATACCTCGTAGGGGGTGTGCGGAAGGGAGCTGATCAATGTTTCTCTCACATCAATATTTCTATCTCTCTATCCCTCTCCCTTCCTCTCTCTCTAAAATAAAAAACATTTTAAAAAATATTCCTTACAATACCTAATTATTTAAAAAATGTTTTCAAGCTAGATCTTTGAAATATATAATTCCCCAACAGTCTCCCATTAGGTTTTGTATCCAACAGTTCAATAAATGCCAAACAACCGATGTAGCTCACTTTTCTGAGTCATTCTGACTATAAACACATTATACCATTAACTTCAAAAGTAAATATTATTGAGTAAATTAAATACTCATCTAGGCAATAGGTATTAATTCAAAGACACACACAAAAATCAGCCAAAAAAATGTGTTGTATAAAGCGCCTATTTGTACACACAACACACTTCATAAGCATTTCATAGCATTCTACCACCTACCTTGTATCGGTTTCAGATTTATGTTTCATCTCCATGATCTCAACCATGAAGAGGTCAATAGGTTCATCTTGTTTTTTAATGGCCAAAATGGAATCAACTACAGCCTATAAGAAGAGTATAACCATTAAATGAATTTGATTTGCAGAAGTCAAGATGCTTATGTTACCTGTTCTGCAGTTTACAGTTTCTCGACTTTAACATCCTTCAAATTGATCTAAGTCTTTTTCTATGAGCTAATAGAATACATTTGCAAAGGGCCGAAGTCATTTATATTTCTTAAACTTCAATTTGTCATTACCTAAAGAATCAGACATCCCTCCTATTTTATTAAAAACATTGTTAAACATTGTTAACAGTAAGATTTTCAATAATAAAATCTCTAATTATAAACCTTTTAATGAAAGCTCTGATTATACCTTTATAACCTGGTCAGGTATATGATTATTTGAATTTCTCACTTTACTTTTTTAAGGACACTGATCAGATTATCACCGCCACAGGAATGAACCTACTTTTTCATGTATGAAGACTTTAGAGAGCAATCTATAATTGAAATTGGTAAGTATACTGATGTTTCTAAAATCAGGGGCTTTTAATTCAACACATACCTCTGTTAAGACATCAGCAAGTTCCGCATGAACTTTAGTACGCAGAGATGTTCTGGCCACATCTATGAGTGTTTCCCTGTCCATCTCTTTGCTTACTTTGACTTGTTCCAAAAACTGAAGTGCCTTTTCCTTTGCAGCTTCAAATCCTTCTGTTACTATTCTGGGATGAAGACCCTATAATGAAGACAATTACAAAACCACCACTAACCCTGGAGTTCTTCAATTAGATGCCACTGTAGTTCATGATAAAGCATATTTTCGAAGATTTATTCTGGATCATTCCTATCCTTTAATACAATATAATGTGCTGACTTTATGAATACATTTAAAAGGATAAACAGTCCTTTCAATGCAGAGGAAAAGAACAGACATTGCTCTAGCACAGAGTCAAAGCCAAGGGAACTATAAAGCACACTTGGGTGTTCACTGTGCAAACCGCAAGGAATAGCAACAAAAACTCAACATGTCACAACAACCTGCAGTCAACAGACCATTATATCTTTCCTATAGGTAATCTGAAATAAATTCAAATATTTACTAATAGAAAGTAGACAGGGTAACTAAGAGTCTGCTTTCTCTGTCTTCCCAGGAAGTTCTTTCTGACATCAGATTAGTATTCATTGAGGTTTGCTTTAATCTTGGAACTACTCTGAGCTAAAAAAAGGTGCAGAATTTTTATTTAAATTTTTGGTTGGCTTTTTCCTTATAAGTTGTCCCGAACATCCCATTTTTAGATCTCAATTATTAACCTATATCATAGACAGATATAATATATGCAATGGAACTTGATAAAAGAAAACCTTTCAGGCCAAGGAAGATTTAACTTGTCCAGAATCACAATTTGTGTCAGACCACGATAAAGACTCTGGTTTCCAGACTTAAGCCCCCCTGCTCTTAACATTCTGCTATGGCCTCAGCCACTATTAATGCATCAATTTGTAGAAATAAAACCCATATTATTTCTTATACATAATAAAATATCACAAAAACACAAGAATCATGTATACTTCAGAAATGTAGAGATCCGCCTGTTTCAGCAGTTCTCCAATGATTAGGACATTGGACGTGGTACCGTCACCCGTTATGTCATCCTGGGCTGTCGCTACTTTGGCTATTAAGGAGGCTGTTGGGTGTTGAATTTGCTGGAAGTAGAAAAAGACAAAATTAAGTAACTTAAAACAATCCAAATATACCTTAAAATGTGTGAAAGGCCTCCTTTTAAGTGCTACGTACCCAAATTGCCCAAGTGTTCAGCTACATATTACTTTAGTTATTTTGCACTGTCAGTTCCTGACAACTAAAACCTTTTCATGTATAAAGCTGTTTACTTCTCAAGATCATCTCTAATTTCCTGGGAAGGAAATCTGAGGCTCCGTTAAAGTTTACTCCAAGTGATAGAGCGAACAAGTACAGTACTTAATAGTTTCAAACTCATGCAAGCCTCTTTATGACAAAGCCCTTATGCCTTCTCCAGGATCACGTGGCACGATCCAAACAATTAACAGCCCTGTTGGCCAAGACCATCAGTAGATGCTAAATTCCTGGATGGGAAGGCTTTGGCGGAACAGGCTATCCATCAAGTCTCCAGGGCTCCTCACTGTACGGTACGGTACTGTATGTACTGTTGCTACTATGACTGATCACATTTCTTTTCTACTTCCTGCATTGTCTGGAAAACTATCTGATGAGAATACGATGTCCTCCTACATCGCGAACAAACATTACAGATCTTCCCACAAACCCAACGTCCTATGGAGAACCCCGACGGCGCTGACCGCTCACCATTTCATGCAGCAGCACATTGCCATCTTTAGTGAGCTTGATGTCTCCAGCTCCAGACACAAGCCTGTTCGAGGGGCAGAAATGAACCCGTGTGACTTTTTCCACGGAGACCAAAGGGACCCCCATGAAACCCAGGCCCGACGGCGCTGGGGCCACAGGGTTGGTTCCCTCCTCCCGGGAGGCATCAGGAATGGTGCAGTGCCCACCCCTCCCTGCTGAGCCAGTCTGCCGAGCCCCCGGGGTCGCGCAAGCCCCAGAGCACGAGGGACGGCCGCCGCGCACGCGGGCAGCTTTGTTCCCCTCGGAGACGGCACCGACTACGAGAGGCAATGGCCGGAGCAGGATACAGGCCCGACCAGGGAGAACGCGGGAAAAGGGGCCGCAGCGGCGCACGGAGGCCCGGGGACCCGGCGGGCTGGAGACCACCACTCCCGGCATGCGGCATGCGGCCCGCGGCGGTGAGCGCAGCGCGGGCCCGCCCGGCCCTCCCCTCCAGCCCCGCCTTACATCTTCATGGTGCCCTTAGGCCCCAAGTTGGTCCTCAGCACGTCCTGCAGACCCCGGGCCGCGCTGATGTTGACCGCCAACGCTGCCTGGGCTCGGGCCACCTCGGCTTTGGGGTTCAGGCTCTTCACGGCCGACATTGTGGAGCCCGCAAAAGAGGGAAAGACCGACGCTGGCTCAGCCCGGCCGCGAGGCGCTATCCGGGTCTTCTGGAAGAGTCGGGCGCGCCCGCCCGCCCCCTGCGTGCCTACGCGCCGCCGCCATTGGGCATTGGGCCGCGGGTCCGCCGGCGCCTCCGCTCATTGGGTCGCAGTCCTGCGGCCCCGCCCCCTCGCGCCGGGGCCCCTGCGCCATTGCGCCCGGAAGGATCCTGTCCCCGGGGCAGCGTACCAGTCCATCCGGCCTAGGTCTGCGGACCGATTTGTGCGCCGGGCCGGCTGGGTCTGGGTCTGGGTCTGGGTATGGGTCTGCACGGTACTCGAGAGCGGGGGCTATTTCCTGGGGGCCTCTGCCCGCAGGGTGTAGGGTGGGCTTTCTCCCGCTCCCACTCCCGCGGTTGGCCTTGCTCCCTCCCCTGCTTTTATGCCTGTAACCTGCGTTTTCTGGGTTATACACTCTGTGCTTGACAATGTTCCAGGTCCTCTGTGGGTACTTTAATGAATCTGATGAGGGCTGTGAGGGAAAAGGGGGCTGTGCAAGAAATCGGACGAGCTCAGGCGGGCCACATGGTAGGTCTGACAACCTCAGTGACCAAAAGTCACCACCTTGGATGGTCTGGTCACAAATTTCTAACCGTGCAGGTCAGAGCTGCTCGTCATCCCAGGCCTACATGGCTCCCTTAGCCAAGGTCAGTCTCCACCTGAGTGAGCTCTGTCCCTTGTTCTTATGCAGCTAAGATATCGCTTAGAAATGTATTTTCCTACCCCTGGAAGGCATAACTGCTGGCACCAGAGCAAGAGACCACAGAACCCCTCATTATCTTGTTCCCTGAATACCATCTCTGTGTGCTATAAATGTTTATTTTTAAAATATTTTTATAGAGAGCCGGGCCAGTGCTCAGTGGTTGAGGAGGTCACGGTTCCATTCCCGGACAGGGCACATGCCCAAGTTGCAGGCTCTATCTATCCCCAATAGGGGTGGGGTGGGAGGCATTGATGTTTCTCTCTTCCTCTCCCTTCCTCTCTGAAATCAATAAAAACTAAAAATATATTTTTTTTTTTCTAGAGAGAGAGAGAGAGAGGGAGAGCGTGAGAGAGAAACATCGATGGGCTGCCTCCTGCACACCACCCCCTACTGGGATCAAACCCACAATCTCCACAAGTGCCCTGACCTGGAATCGAACCAGCAACCTTTCAGTGCACTAGACGACACCCAATGAACTGAGTCACACCAACTAGGGTGATATAAATGTTAATTATTTTTTTAAAATATATTTTTATTGATTTCAGAGGGGAAGGGAGAGGGAGAGAGAGAAACACCAATGCTGAGAGAGAATCACTGATCAGCCGCCTCCTGCACACCCCACACTGGGGATTGAACCTGCAACCTGGGCATGAGCCCTTGGCCGGAACCGAACCTGGGACCCTTCAGTCCAAAGGCCAAAGCTCTGTCCACTGAGCCAAACCAGCCAGGGCTAAATGTTAATTATTAACTACCCTGTACCCACCAATGTAAAAGAAATATATGTTTCTCCATTTTGCCTTTTATCCAATCCTAGAGAGTTCCCTGCTATGCTTTCTTCCACCTTATTAATCTAACACCAGTGGGTTTCATGTAACCCTCTTTATTATCCTCCTTTAATTATGTATAAAATAAGCTCGACACTGCCATTCTCCGGAGCCTTTCTCAGTCTGTTGAGATCTTGCTTCCTGTTGTATGTTGTTAATTTGGCTCAAATAAGCTCATAAAAATTAGTTCTTTAGGTTTGGATGTTTCTTTTTTAAAATGTGTTTTTATCAATTAAGAGAGAGAGGCGGGGAGAGGAAAAGAGAGAGAGAGAGAGAGAGACATCAATGTGAGAAACATCGATCAGTTGCCTCCCATACGTGTCTCAACGAGGGATTGAACCTGCAACCTGGGTACGTACCCTGGCCAGGAATTGAATCGGTGACCTGTAGGAACATGGGACAGTGCTCAACCAACTGAGCCACACCAGCCAGGGCAGACATTTCTCACCTCGACAGGACCCTCGCCCAGTGTCCTAGGTGTGTTAGGCCTAGGGAAAATGAAGTGATAAATGCAAGGTAGAAAGTGCTAGATGCTTTCAGAAAGCTACAGGATCGGTGCCATGGCATTTGAGGTGAAGCAAGAGTCAGTTCACCTTTCAGACTCAGAACACACTGCTGAGGCCTTACTTAGGCCCTTAAGTCAGGTTTGAAAACTCAAACTTGATTCAACAATGGTGTCCAGCCTTTGAGGGGACTCTACTTTTAAAAAATATGTTTTTATTGATTTTAGAGAGAGAGAAAGAGGGATAAAAAGATAAAAACATTAATGAGAAACACCTATCCGCTGCCTCCTGCATGCCCCCTACTGGGAATCGAGCCTGCAACCCAGGCATGTGCCCTGACTAGGAATCAAACTGGTGACTTCTTGGTTCATGGGTCGACACTCAACCACAGAGCCACACCAGTTAGGCAAGAGGACTCTATTTTTAAGAGAAAAATTCTGAACGATGTCCACAATTGTTTTCTAATTTCTAGTTCCCCAAGTACCAGGTATTTAGTAATGCTTTATATTTCATTTTTATAGATAATAATAAAAGTTATTCAAAAGGTGCCAAAGGGTGTATCGTAAAAAGTTAAGTCTTCCTCCCTCTGGTGTAACTTCCACCAGACAAGCACTGTTACCTTTGGATGCTTTGAATTCCCCCAGATGCTTTCTGAATTTATAAATAAATATATATGTATAAATAAAAGCATTTTTTCTCCACACAAAATGGCAATTTATAATACACATTGCTGCATGTGTTATACTTTAGGTATCTTGGAGATTGTACCATATCAATACAAATAGGGATTCCTCATTCTTATTAACAGCTGCATGATATTACATAGGTTTGTATAAATGAGAATCACAAAAGCACCTATATAAGTTTGAGTAATAGCACAACACAGTAGGAGGAGAGTCATGATGTTACTTGCTGTGCATGCAGATTTATTTAACTACGGTTCGAGATGATGTCACTTAGCCCTACTTTATAGATTAGAAAATTGAGTCAAAAAAGTTAAGTAACTTGTCCAAGGTCACATACTGGTAAACATTGCAAAACTAGAATCCAAACATGAACAGAGATGCAGATTGTAGAATATCAGGCCTCTACTTACAGGTAGAGAAATGGGGAGTGGAAAGACTCGCACTTTCCTGAGGTGAAAAGTTTAAGGGGCACTAAAAATTCAATAATTGAGATCAATTATATATGTACATATTTTAATCCTCACCTCAGGAGTGAGGATGTTTTTTCCACTGATTTTTAGAGAGAGTAGAAGGGAAGGGGATAGAGGCAGAGAGAGAAACATTGAAGTGAGAGAGACACATCAATTAGTTGCCTCCTGCTCAAGCCCTGACTAGGGCTGGGAATTGAACCTGCAACCAAGCTACGTGCCTTTGACCAAGAATTGAACCCGAGACCCTTCAGTCCGTGGGCCAATGCTCTAACCACTGAACAACCCTGCCAGGATGCAATATTTTTTTAAAATCAAAATTAACACAAAAACTCCATAATTAACAAATATCAGAGTTTTAAATTAGGCATCTCCACAAACATCCTCTCAGGCATTAGACAAAGCAAAATAGAAGAATCCCCTTGATTCCTCTAGAGGCAATCTATTTGCATATTTTATTTTACTAGTCTTGGTTATCACAAGTTACTTAACTTTTTTGACTCAATTTTCTAATCTATAAAGTAGGGGTAAGTGACATCCTAGAGAAAATTAAATGTGTAACATGGGTTGTATGTGCCAAATGTGGAAGGTGTAAGTAAATTGTCACTACGGCATTCATATAATGTAATTATTTAATTTTTGTAGCAGCTTGACAGGTTTTCAATTTCTTGCTCTCTCTCTCTCTTCTCCTTCTGGCACCCCCATGATGGGAATGTTGCTACTGTTGAAGTTGTCCCAGAGCCTCCTTACACTATCCTCATTTAAAAAATATATATTTTTTGATTTCAGAGAGAAAGGGAGAAGGAGAGAGAGAAACATCAATGATGAGAGAGAATCATTGATCAGCTGCCTCCTGCAGGCCCCCTACTGGGGATGGAGCCACAACTGGAGCATGTGCCCTTGACTGGAATCGAACCTGGGACTCTTCAGTCTGCAGGCCGACCCTCTATCCACTGAGCCAAACTAGCTAGAGCCACTATCCTCATTTTTTAAAATCCTTTTTTCTTTTTGCTGTTCTAATTGGGTTTTTAAAAAATATATTTTTTTTTATTGATTTTTTACAGAGAGGAAGGGAGAGGGATAAAGAGTTAAGAACATCGATGAGAGAGAAACATCGATCAGCTGCCTCCTGTACACCCCCTACTGGGGATGTGCCCACAACCAAGGTACATGCCCTTGACCGGAATTGAACCTGGGACCCTCCAGTCCATAGACCGACGCTCCATCCACTGAGCCAAACTGGTCAGGGCTAATTGGATATTTTCTACTTCCTGATATTCCAAATCACTGATTTAATTATCTGCTGTATCTACTCTACTGCTGATTCCCTGTAGTTTATTCTTCATTTCAGTTAGTATATCCTCATTTCTGACTGGCTCTTTTTTATGCTTTCCATGTCTTTTTTTTATGCTGTTGAAGTTCTCAGTAAGATCCTTGAGCATCCTTATAGCCATTGTTTTGAACTCTGTATCTGGTAGTTTGCTTGCCTCTATTTAATTTAGTTCTTTTTCTGAAGATTTCTCCTGTTCTGTCATTTGTGACCTGTTTCTTTGTCTCTTCATTTTG